CAGTCATCAAAAAACCTCCAAGGTAAAATAAGAAAACAAATACTTTATTCTTGAGAATTTTCTGTTTAGCAATTTTATTTTGTGTGTGTGTTTTTCTTAGTGGGCTACTTATTGGGGGATAGAATAGAACTTGAATATATTACAGGTTAAGATGTATTGTTATGATTATACCTTTTTAATAATATTTAACATCCGAGGTATTAAAAGCATCTTTGATCCCAAAAATGACCATTTTATATATTAGAACAATATAAATACCCTGCTTTGGGATGCCACTGAAAATGTGATTAATGGTAATTTAAGTATTAATTTCCATCCATCTCAACAACTGGCAGCGTCCATCAATTATACCATTAGCTGCCCAGTGATTGCAGCTGCAAAAAGCAGAATTAGCGTTTAAGCTACTGTCATTCACCTGAAATTTTACAGTTCTAATTAGTGAGCCAGGAAGGCTGTCAACAACTAAATGCCAAATGATTGGCTTACAAAGACAGCATTTCTCAATCCTTTCCCAGACTCACCCATCCAGAATTTTACTCATTGTGGAATTCAAAATGCCATAGAGAAAACTTTATTTTAGCTTTTGGCAACATTCCTCAACAAGTAAGAAGAACACCGAACAGGGATCCTCTGAGAATGTACAGTCTGTAGGAAAATTGTTTCCTAATCCCTTTTACTTTATCTCTATGCCACAAGCTTTTGCAAATACTGATACTGCTGTTACAAGTTTACTCGTGTATTATAACATTTTTTGAGACCTTTGCATGTACCAAAAGTAGGTATTGAGGCCATACAATTAGAAAGAGACTTTGTTCTCAGGGCAGTTCCATTCCAAATAGGGAAATAAATACATTGACAAACAGACAATAAATTAAAGAAAAAAAGTATCATGGCATTAGATTCTAAAAAAAGAATAGAACCCTGTGGTTGAGAATGAGTGTGACACTACTTTGCACTGGTCGGTAGGGAAGGCCACTCTTGTGATGTCTACACTCAGTCATGTAATGAGGATATAAAGTTAACATTCAAAGGCCAGAAGGAAGAGTATTCTAGAAAAAGGATACAAGAGACCTAGGGCAAGAATGAATGAAAATCTTTGAATATCTAGGTTAAAAAATAAAATAAAAGGCCACTGTGGAAGTTAGTAGCTAAGAATAAGATTAGTCCAAGATGAGTTCACAGATGTAGATATAGGCAGAGCATGGAGGGTTTGGTTAACCATGGTCAGGAGTTTGAATTTCCAGTAAGATGTCATTGAAGGTTTTTAATTGATTTATATTTTTCAAAAACCACTTATTCTGGTCACTGTATACAGAATGGATTATAATTCTTGAGAAATTCTTGCACATTTGCAGCAAGAATATAAATAAGAATGCTCATAATAATGTTGGCTGTAATAGCAAAAATTAGAAATAGACCGAATTTCATCAACAGTAGAATAATAAATCAGTTTGACAGCAGTCTTATAACAGACTACTATATAGCAATGGAAATTACAATATTTTTTAGTGAAACAAAAATAACTGAGTGGAAAAGCAAATTGAAAAATAATATATATGACACAATACCACTTACATAAAATTCTAAAGCATATGGCTTTTCTCTTTTGGTGTCTGGCTTATTTCACTTAACATAAAGGGAGAACTAACTAGTTTTCTTAACTATTTTTTTAAGAATTATTTTATTGAACTTTATTTTATTTAAATTTGACCAGAGAGGGACAGAATATGAGAGAGAAAGGAAAAGTGAGAAAGCAAACTATCAGGTCCAGGACTCAGACCACAGTGGACCATGTGGGAGTCCAGTGCCCTTAACCACCACGCCACCGGCCAGCCCCATAAATTACTATTAATATAGTAAATTAGCTAGAAAAGAAATCTGAATGTTTCCAATACAAGTAAAAAATGGTTAAGATGTATATACTAATTGCCTTGATTTAATCATCACATTCTGTATTTTTGTACTGAAAAATCACATTTTACTACAAATATAACTACTATATGTTAATTTTTTTAAAAGCAGGCCATGCCCTGGTGGTGTAGGGAGCCAGACCTCACCTGGATGCCTGACCAGTTTAAATTCCAGTCCTCATGGCTTGAAAATCATGCTCTGTGTGTGTGTGTGTGTGCGCGTGGTGTGTGCACACGTACACGCGCATTCAAAATTCAAAGTTAAATCAATGCAGTGTGGACATATCACATATCCTAAGGTGACCCCCAACAAGTCACACCATTATATAACTCTTGTGTACTGCGGGTTTCTAACAGATGACAAGTCACTCCTAACTACCTTGAATTATATAAGACTTATCTTAGCAGACAGAAGCACTGAGGAAAGCTGACAAGTTGTGAAAGTCTATGAAAAGGGCCACACGGCAAGAAGAATTCTCAAGAGCTGGAGTAGCTCCAAGACAAGTGCCAGTAAGAAAATAGGAGCCTCGGTTCTACAGCCCCAGAAAGTTGTGTTCTGCCAACAACCTGAGGCAGCTGAGCCTTCAGTGAGGCTGAGAATGCAGCCCTGCCCACACCCACACACCGTAACTGCCACGTTGTCAAGCTGTGAGCCTCGAGGACCCACCAAAGGTGTGTCTCTGCCTCTGGTAGGCACAAAGCGAAATAATAAGTCTCTTGTTTTACGATACTCCGTTTATGATCATCTATCACACAGAAATAGAAAACTAATTCAAAACTAATAAACACAAAATCAGAAGCATTGGATACCTCTCAAGGAGATAGGAAGAAAGGAGATTTAATCAATGAGTCCGCAGTGTGGACCTCAAAGCTATTGTTAATATGTTCTTTCTTCCCTTTATATCTTTATGCTACCGAGGTTTTATAGGTATGTACCTATCTGCTTTTAGCTTACTGTTACTGTTTTAAGTATATGCTTCTTAGTAAATCATATTTTGCTTTTAATTATATTTTTTTCTACTTTTGTTACTGTAGCTTTCCCTCAATTTTCCTGACCTCAACTCTTTACCCATGCTTTTATTTCCAACATTTCCTTGACATGGTTTGAAATTGGGTTTCATGTACAGAATATGTTATTATATATTTTAAATAAAATCTTAGAGTACCTGACCTCATTTGACCACATTAGTCCATTTATAATAATATCTATTATTTTACGACTTAATACACCATGTTTTTTTTTAAAGTTATCTTTCATCTTCTGTACTCTCTTTACATTTCTTTTCTCACTACTCTTTTCTATGGGCTAGATTGAACATTCTTATTCTGCTTATGTCATCTATTCTGCATCTGCTTTTATAATACATGGACTTAACTTAAGACCCATTTAAATGTTTTCTCTAATGAGCAAATGCTACAGCATGCTGGCATATTCCTTTGGTCTCCTCCAGCCCATTATGTTAATTTTGTCTGTAATTTTAGTTCTGAGTTCTGAAATTTTCTCAGAGCTGAGGGAGAAATCCAGCAGCCCATGTTTGTTTGCCATTCTGTTGGGTAAGAAACTTTTCACAGTAATGTTTAGTTTTTATTATTCCTTAAGTTATGTGGCAGGCACATTGTTGTTTTATTATTAGTCTTAAAGCTTTACATATATGTCATAGTATTTTGTACAATTCATTTATACCAATAGTTTTTAAAATAACAAATAAGAGTATCTGGCACAAGTGGATATTAATAAATGTCAGTAAATTAAGAAATAGAGACTAAAGAACTAAATGATTATTATTCTCTCTCTTTTTTTTTTTTTTTTTTTTGGAAAGATTTTTGCAAAATAGGGCACATGTGCTCACCAGAAAGAGAGAGACAGAGAGATAGAAAGTGAGAAATCACCCCCGGGGGATGTCCACCCTGCAATCCCTTCTCCTCCATTCTCTTCTCAGGATCTTGGGCACGCACGCACATGTGCCCAGCTTGAGTTTAAGCTACTGGGTCCGGGACTTGAACCATGGTCGGCTACATGGGAGTTCAGCAACATAGCCATTACACTAACTGCTGGTCCTAATGATTATTCTCTTGATCACCACTTCATAAGTGCTCTGGCAACACCACAAAGCTAAGAAATTATTCCAACAGATAAGAAAGATCTTGTCCAGCCTTCCCTTTTTATCTAGAACCAGTATGCTTTCGATCACATCTACTTATTTGAATCACTGATGCCACGTTGTTAGTCATGAAAACACCTGTCTGCTTATCTCAAGTACTTTCAGCCATTAAAAGCATATTGCTTTTAATTAAACACCTGTTTTATGCAAGCCACTGCATTATTAATATGCAGAATGTGGAAAATAATTTAGTAGAACCCACAAGAAGCTTATCTTTTAGTATTAGGAGATGGACTAGCTCACAGATAATCACAATAGAAGGTTGAATGTGATCAATGCAAAATTAGAGTATAAAAGGTGAATGCAAAGTACACAAAGAGGTTTTACACAATTATTATACAATTATTTCAGCTGAGCTTTGAGGAGGGACAGATTTTGAGCTTCATAAATAAACATGTTCTCTCTTATCTTTGGGTCTTCACAAACACTATTTTAGCTGCATATTCACTCTTAAGTATCGTCTTAGCCTAGCTAATTGTCACATACTCTTAGGTTCTCAGTTTTTTTGGGGAGAGGTTTTGGCTATAGGACGCGTGCGCTCGCCAGACAGAGAGAGAGAGAGACAGAGAGATAGAAAGCGAGAAATCACCCCCCAGAGGGGATGGCCATACTGCAATCCCTTCTCCTCCATTCTCCTCTTGGGATCTTGGGCATGCACACACACGCGCCCTGCATGAGTTTAAGCCACCGGGTCCGGGACTCGAACCGCGGTTGACTATGTGGGAGTCCAGCAACATAGTTGTTACACTAACTGCTGGTCCCAGGTTCTCAGTTTTATTGTCTTGTCTTTTAGAGAGCCTTCCAGCTCTCCACCCTCTCTTCCCTGAGTCTGGGTTCAGCAACCTCCCGTGTGTGGCCCTAAAAACCTGGTACATGAACTCTGCTCTAACTTTCATTATATCATACCATATAAATGCCTGTTACTTACAAGGTGGCATGTTTCTGTGTCCACTAAATTGTTTGCTAGAAGTTCACAGGCATCTATTGGTGAGAACTATTTGTGTTGGGTGAAGACCTGTACAGAGAAAAAAATTTTAACAGGGATAAGAAAGAGGAAAATGAAAAACAGAATATACATTTCTTCCCCTGCCTGAGCCCAGAGGTTGGATCTGACAGTACTTTGAGAGGCCTGAGGCATAACCAGCACTGATTGGGAGTCCAGGTGACAAAGCCTACCACAGAGAAAGGCATTTTTCACGTTCTGTTGGAAACAGCATGTTACAACAACCTAATGGCAATGTGACACCTTGAGAATTTTACAGGCCTGATAATATAGGACATTGAACACTGAGCAGGACAACATTAAAATAGAAGCACCACCAGCAGTGACTGCCTCGGGCACCTGCCAGAATGCCTTTGCAAGATCCCCAAGGAAGATACCAGGGGATTCCATGAGTACACATGAGAAACCCAGGAAATTCCTAGGTAACCCACGAGACTTACAAGGAAAACCAAGTTCCCCTAATTAGATAGGTTTGAGGCAACCAATCTCAGGCCAAATGCAAGATTAAAGGTTCTCACAAGACTGAACTGAACTTGATCTGCATCAAAAAGATAGTATTCTCTCTGTCTCCCGACTAAATTAATTAAAGTGTGACTTCTTCAGAGGCTCTGTGCCTTGCTCACTGTGGGGTTCCTAGAATTCAGCACTATCTGACACATATAGCATATGTTCATAACTAAATTATTGACTAAATATGCTGAAGATGGTATTTAAACTAAAAAGTGTCCCTTCTAATGCAGAACTCTTTATCACTATATGGAATTGACTCCTAATTTCCTTTCTAAAAGGTTTTTAACTGGATCTTAAAGAATTATAGCATTGTGCTTCTTAAATACATGTATACTCTCTCACCTTTAGGTCTTCGTAAACACCGTTTTACCCAGACACATACTCTTCTGCAACCTCTTAACCTAGCTAGTTCTCATTTATGCTAGAGGTTCACAAGCACGTAGCTGCATAAGTGATCTGCACTGAGAGAAAGAAACCTATTTCCTCTGAGTAACTCAGTTTCATATGATTGAAATAAAGCAAAATTTCATGCAGGTAAAAGATAGTAAATGAACTTTCAAACATTCTCCTCATTCTGTGTCAAACCATGCCCATTAAAATATAGTGTGACTGGGCAAGCACAGTTGGATTTTCAGACAGGGATGATTAGATTGATTAACACTGAATAATAAAGTTTTGGAATTATATAGAAAGGGTTTGCTCTGTAATTCTCCCCAAACAGTACTATTCACAACTCATATGCCCCTGCTGCAAAGTGGCCCATGGGATGTCTAGCCATATGTCTTCCCAAGGAGGCATTTAAAGATTTATGCAAAAAGCTTTGAGGCACCAATAACAAGTTAGAATCTTGCAACTCCACTGTCAAAAAAGAGCAATAAACGTGAACGTAACAATGAACATGTCGCCTGACTGTGAAAAAGGACATAATTGCCCCAACATAAAATTTTTAAAAAACTTTATCATTGACTAAAATATAATAACATTACCCATTACCAAAAAAATAAATAAATAAATAACCCGGGACCAGCAGTTAGCGTAATGGCTATGTCGCTAGACTCCCACGTAGTCGACTGCGGTTCGTGTCCCGGACACACTCCTTTAACCCTAATCCTCAATATAACCCTCACCCTAACCCTACCGAAACACTAAGAGTCAGCCTTAACCTATCGCCCCACCCTAACTCTGACCCATGAACCTAAACATATCCCTTCACCCTGACTTAAGCAAAGCCTGAACCCTAATACTAACCCTAAACTTCACCCCTACCCCTGACCCTAAACCTACATATAACCCTAACACTCAACCTCCTTAACCAGAACCCATACCCTAACCCTAGATCTACCCCCTAATCCTCATCCTAACTCTTGACCCTAACCGTAATGCTGACCAAAACCATCAAAATAACCCGAAAACTAATCCTAACCCTCACCCCGAAGCCTAGCCCTGACCATAAATCTAACCATAACACTCGTGCTACTGTAACCGTAACCGTAACCCTAACCCTAACCCGTGCTCCGTTAACCGTAACCGTAACCCTAACCCTAACCCTAGCCTCTAACCCTAAACATAACACCTAAGCCTGACCATAACCCTAACTGAAACCATAACCCAAACCTATACCCTGACTATAACACAGCACTCTAACCCTAACTCTCAATCTAACCCTCACCCTAAGCCTACAGAAACCCTAAGCCTAACAATAAGCCTGACCCTATTGCCCCACCCAAACCCAAACCCCTTAACTTAACCGTATTCTTTCACCCCGACTTAACCCTAGCTCGGACCCTAACCATAACCTACCCCTCACCCCAACTCCTGGCCCTAAACCTAAATTTAACCCTAACACTCACCCTCCTATAACCAGAGCCAGAGCCCGAACCCTAACCCTAGCCCTAACCCCTAACCCGCATACTAACTCCTGAACGTAACCAAAACACTAACCAAAACCGTCAACCTAACCTGAAAACTAACCCTAACCCTCACCCCTAACACAAATTCTGACCTTAAATCTAACCATGACACTCACCCTACCATAATCCTAACCGTAATACTAACCTTAAACCTACCTCCTATTCCTGACAGTAACCCTAACTGAAACCATAACCCAAACCCCAACACTGACTCTAACTATCCCTCCTAACCCTAACCCTCAATCTAATCCTCACCCTAATGCTTCTGCAACACTAACCCTTACTCTAAGCCTGACAATATCACTTCACCCGAAGGCTGACCCCTGAACCTAAATGTACTTTTTCACCCCAAAATTAAACCTAGCCCGGATCTTAACTCTAACCCTAAACTTCACACCTACCCTTGGCCCTAAACCTAAATTTAACTATAAAACTTAACCTCCTTAACCAGAACCTGAACCCTAACTCTAGCCAGAACCCCTAAGCCTCACCCTAACTCCAGACTCTAACAATAACGCTGAACAAAATCATCAACCTAACCCCAAAACTAACCGAAACCCTCAACCCAAAGCTTGGCCCTGACTGTAAATATAACCATAACATTCACCATACAGTAACCATAACCCTAACCCAAGCCTCTAACCCTAAACATAACCCCTAAGCCTGACCATAACCCTAACCGAAACCATAACCCAAAACACAACCCTGACCCTAACACAACACTCTAACCCAAACCCTCAATCTAACCCTCACACTAACCCTACTGAAACCCTAACCCTAATAATAAGCCTGATCCTATTGTCCCACCCTAACCCAGACCCCTGAACCTAACCGTATCCCTTCACCCAAACTTAAGCCTAGCTCGGGCCCTAACCATAACCATAACCCTCACCCCTACCCCTGGCCCTAAACCTAAATTTAACCATAACACTCAACCTCCTTAACCAGTACCCGAACCCGAACCCTAGCCCTAACGCCTAAACCTCATCCTAACTCCTGACACTAACCGTCACGCTAACCAAAATTGTCAACCTACCCTGAAAACTAACTCTAACCCTCACTCCTAGTATTAGCCCTGACCGTAAATCTAACCATAACTCTCACCCTACTGGAACTGGAACCGGAACCCTAACCGGAACCCTACCTCTAACCCTAAACATAACCCTTAAACCAGATCATAACTCTAACCGAAACCATAACCCAAACCCAAACCATGACCAAAACACACCTCTTTAACCCTAATCCCCAATCTAACGCTCAGCCTAACCCTACTGAAACGCTAAGCCTAAGAGTCAGCCTTAACTTATCCCCCAACACTAACCCTGACCCATGAACCTAACTGAATCCCTTCACCCCAACTTAAGCCTAGCCCGAACCCTAATACTAACCTTGACAGTCACCCCTACCCCTCGCCCTATGCCTAAATTTAACCCTACCACTCACCCTCCTGTAACAAGACCTCGAACACTAACCCTAGCTCTAACCCCTATGCCTCACCCTAACTACTGACCCTAACCGTAACATTGAACAAAACCGTCAACCTAAGCCGAAAACTGATCCTAAACCTCACCCCTAAGCCTAGCCCTGACTGTAAATCTCACCATAACACTCACCCTACCGTAACCCAAACCGTAACCCTAACCCTAGCCTCTCACCATAAACATAACCCCTAAGCCTGACCATAACCCTAACCGAAACCATGACCCAAACCCCAACTCTGACCCTAACACACCACTCTAACCCTAACTCTCAATATAACCCTCACCCTAACCCTACCGAAACCCTAAGCCTAACAGTAAGCCTGACCCTATAGCCCCACCCTAACCCAAGCACCTGTACCTAACCGTATTGCTTCACTCCGACTTAAGCCTAGCTCAGACCCTAACCATAACCTTAACCCTAACCCCTACCCTGGCCCTAAACCTAAATTTAACCCTAACACTCACCCTCCTGTAACCAGAACCCGAACCCTAACCCTAGCCCTAACCCCTAACCCACATACTAACTAACTCCTGACCCTGACCGAAACACTAACGAAAACAGTCAACCTAACCCGAAAACTAACCCTAACCCTCACCCCAACACTAGTTCTGACCCTAAATCTAACCATGACACTCACCCTACTGTAACCCTAACCATAACACTAACTCTAGCCCATAATCCTAAACCAACCTCCTATACCTGATAGTAACCCTAACCCAAACCATAACCCAAACCCCAGCACGGACTCTAACAACCCCCCCTAACTCTAACCCTCAATCTAACCCTCTCCCTAATCCTTCTGCAACACTAACCATTACTCTAAGCCTGACCCTATCACCACACCTGAGCCCTGACCCCTGAACCTAAACATACCCCTTCACCCCGATTTAACCTACCCCGGATCCTAATCCTAACCCTAACCCTCATACCTATCCCTGGCCCTAAACCTAAATTTAACCCTAACACTCAACCTCCTTAACCAGAACCCGAACCCTAACCCTAGCCCTAACCCATCACCCTCACCCTAATTCCCGACCCTATCCATAACGCTAAACAAAATCGTCAACCTAACCTGAAAACTAACTCTAACCCTCACTCCTAGGCCTAGAC